ATTCACTTTTAAGTTCTTTAAATTGGCAGTTTTTCGGCTGGTTTATTAATTTTCACTGGTGTTGGCAGCAACATGTTGTGCACTGAGCTGACTGACAATAAGTTAATGACAGTTAAAATTATAAAACCAACTTCTGTTTTTCCAGAATAAAAGAATTTGCAGTAGAGACAATAAACTAGTTTTATACTGGTAACATTTACATACTCTGTGTTGGTTTAATATCTAAGTTGTAATTTTATCGATACTTAACTGTATTTCCCCAAATATTGCAGCTGTATTTGTCCTTTTGAAGAGTTGTGGAATGTATGTGTATCTTCAGAATGATAAGGTGCCATGTCATGCAGCTGCATTCCCTTCTACTTTAAGTACTGTAGACACTAATTCCATAGTTCATTTCAGGACAGCACAGAGAAACATTCAAACATGTAATTTGTAACGGAAATTTTAATAAGCCAGTTTAATTAAACTTTGTTATCTGAGATACAGAACACTGTGATGGAAATCAACAATTTTCAGAATAGTAAATGGAGTGCTGAGGAATTTTTGAGTAACTAACAGAAAAATAATGATTGATATATGGATAGTGAATGATAGTGATAACTAACGATCCAGCAGATCTAAGGTTTTTAACCTTCATTACTCTGATACTTTTTTATCATCTGTTTACTTGAAATAAACCAAACAAAAGCTTGGAAGTACCATGATACCATTCCTATATATTGAAACATAATTCAAATCTAGTATCAACAGCAATTGGAGATTCTTTCTCTCTGACATAATGAGGAAGCCTCTTGGCAAAGTGACATAGGCATGTGGTCCTATTTCAAAATGTGAAGATCATTGGTGTAGTGACTTATCCATAAGAACTGGGTGGAAACTCAAGTCTGCAGCAATGCAAAAGCAAGCAAAAACATTTTGTGGAGGAAAAACAGAAGTTTGAATGTTTTGCAGCCTTTCTCTTTTAACAGAAAGACTAGAAAAACTAGAATTCGTTGATAACTAAAATTTGTCAGCACAAGTAAATAGGGAGTCTAATTTCTGTAAAATTCTCTACAGATATGACATACAGAAAATTTTACTGTATTATACGATAAAACTATGTATTAGTATCAGTTACTAGAACAGTGATTTTTTTACTTTTTATATTTAAATGCAGGGTCAAGTGTTGAAACAAGTGAAAGAGGTCATGACATCTGTAATTCCCTCATAAATTTTAAAATTAACAGTTTCAAAAATTCTGACTTGATGCTTAGAAAATCTCAGTTGTTTTTTGTAGTTGCCATCTACAATGCTGTTGAAATAAGAAGTGGAATTTTATTAAAGAGCATAGACTTTCTTTTACCTAGTAACCACTGAAATAAGTATTTCAAAACTTTACTAAGGCTTATGTGTACAGAATTGCCCAAGTGGTGGGCAGTAATTCCCCTCTGGAATTACTGTATATTTCAAAATGATGTTTCAAATTGCTATTACTTTATAAATATGAAGATTGTAAGAAGCATATTGTGTGACTAAAAATAATTTTCTTAACAAGACTTTGGATATGATCTTTGAAGCTATTGTCTCTAAAGCACTGACTTATTTTCTTTAACATTAAGCACAGTTAAAATAGTCCATTTTTTTTGCTCATCATATTAATCTGACTTTGCTGACTTCCCTTTCTCTTACAAGTCATCTATTAATGGTATTTCTTATTTGCAGTTTGGAACTTACTGAATGAAAAATATTAGTGTTGAAACTATAGTATATGTTTATACAGTGTTGCTCTTAAATATATTCTAGTTTCAGTAGAAATATTGTTTGTTTTTTTCATTGTGGTGGTTATTGTTATTTCTGAAGTTGCATGTGCAACCTTTAATTGATTCAATTTTATATTTTGAGCTTTTTTGAAAGGAACCTTGGATGTAATTTGAATAATTGTGTTATCTCTGTATTTCTGTTTCTCAGTATCAAATGATGATCCATCATGATGATAATGGAAAAAGTTTTGGTGGGCTGTCCAAGACAGTAGTCTGCTGACTGTAAGGTGGTTGGTGTTTTTCTAAGAAATTTTTAGACTCTGCTCAATAATTCAGTAATGTGACATTATTACCTATTTAATATATTCTTGACACTAATTTTTCATTTCCTTTTATACGGCTAAATGTCATCAAACACTGAACTATACCAGGTTTGTCTTGTGTTAAGATGAGGGATTCAGTGCTCTGCACTTGAAATTATAACCAGGCATGTTAAAATTCATGAACTAAAATGAAAATATAGTTATTACTCTTGTCTTTGCCCTGGTATGAAACTATATAGGTACATACTGTTTCAAAAAAAAAGGTATTTATTAATGTCCATCACGGTGTTTTAATTTTTTTGCCATCCTAAATGAACATGCAAAGCTAGCAAAAGAATAAAACTTTCTTTTTATGATACTGAGACTTTCATGAAGAAGAGGGAATTACTTGGAAAATATCTCTCCTAGGAGAGAAATTTATATTATATAAAAACTTTTCCATCATACTTTGAACAACCAATTTTTAAATGACTTCAGATGACCTGAAATTAGAGCAGAAGATTTCAAACAAAATATTAATCATCTTTCCAATAAAATGTATTTTCAGCCTTGACATTCTTGCACATAACTTATGAAATGACATAGCCTTATAAGTGCTCAAGAGCATCCAAACACCAAGGAGCACATGTTAGGAAGAGAATATTTACCTGTATTTCTTCTCTTTTGTCCGCTATGCAATTTATTGGTAGATTTCAGAAGAATTGTACTGGGGCTCAGTCTAAGCTCAAAAATAAGTTGTTTATATCAAATCTTTATGTCTCGTTCCCATAATTAGTTTCTGGGTCATTTGTTGTTTTTGCAGAGAGTTAGGGATCTCAGATATTTTTTAGTTAGTAATGTGATAACTAGGCAGAGTCTCAGATTAGAGACACAAGTATGGGGAAACTGAGTCATGAGAATTGCTATATTAAGCATCAGGGAATCTGCGTGGAAGACAGTCATTACAGATAAAAGCCACAAAAGGGAGTCAGGCTGCATGGTTTCTGTGGGTCAGGGAAAAACTCATATCTTCTTGTTCTTAGGTTTTGATACATCCAGCACAACCTGTTAATCAGCTACAATTCATGATCCATAGAACTAGTTTAATAATGTACGATCTGTTTTTTTTACAGTGATTTGTGACTTTATATCTTTGCAGATATGAACAACCACAACAAAACAGCAGACAGAACCTTTATTAGCTTTAAAGCAAAGTCATATTTTCCTTTACAGCTTGCACTATTTCTTTGTTTATGAATAAATTATTCTAAAACTAATTTTCCATATAGAAATAAAAAGTCCCCCTTTTTAAAAAATCATTTTTCATCATTAAAAATCATCATTAAAATCATAACCATTTAAAAATCATTTTTTAAAATGATTAAGGCAAACTTTTAATGATCACTGCTGGGATGGAAATAAGTCTAAGATTCATTTCTACATTCTTCAGTTACTAATACAACATGTAATATACTGTGACCTTTTAATAATATCACTTCATGGAAATGAAAGCAATAGGTACTTCTTTCAGTGTGGTGTACTGGGTCTGGCTGGAATGTTAACTTTCCCTGCAGCAGCCCATACAGTGCTGTGCTCTGCACTTGTAGCTAGAACAGCAGTGTTATCACACCAGTGTTGTGTCTGCTGCTGAGCAGTGCTGGCACAGCATCAGGACTTTTTTTTTCCCCTTCCCCCTCCCTTTTCCCTTTTCCTTTTCTTTTTTTCCCCTTTAGTTAAATTGTTTAGTTAGTAATCTTTCCTCAATAATAATAATAATTATTATTATTATTTTCCCCTTAATTAAATTATCCTTATCTCAAACCGTGAGTTATTCTTTACTTCTTCCCCTCCTCATCTAAGGAGGGGGAGTGAGAGAGCAGTTGTGGTGTTTAGCTGCCTAGCACGGTAAAACCACCACATGTGGGAGAGGGTAAAAGAGCATGGAACAGAATGGATGTAGATGACAGTCTGGTCAACTTCCTTGGTGTTTCATTTCCAATTGTACAACAATTCATTACCTGTTTATCACTAGTACTTAAATAATTCAGGTATTTTTTTGTATCTCTGATTAAATATTGTTGAGAGTTCCTGATTGATTTAGAGTTGATATTACCTAATATAAAAGTGTACATTTGCGTTAGATACTCGTGTTTTGGGTTTCGTTCTGTGGTGCATTTAAATAGCTGGCAATTATCCAGCTTTTTACTTCCACTGCAGTAGAGAAGTGTCTGGACATTCTTTAGAGAAGAATTTTGTTTGTTTTTCACCTGTCCTGTTATTTGCTCTTTCTTGCTAGCTTAGAAGTCATGAGTTTTTGAGAATTTATTTGTAAACCAACTTGAAAGACAGAGAATATTTACCCCTCAGCGTCTTGTATAGCTGTCATCTTTGTGTATTCATAAGCTGTGACCAAATTAACATAGAATTACAGAATGGTTTGTATTAGAAGGGACATTAAAGATCATCTAACTCCAAGCACCCTGCCACAGGCGAAGACACCTTCCACTACACCAGGTTGCTCAAAGCCTGGCCTTAAACACTTGCAGGGATGGAGCATCCACAACCTCTTCTGGGCAACCTGTTCCAGTGCCTTACCACCCTCGTAGTAAAGAATTTCCTCCTTATATCTAATTTAAACTTCCCCTCCTTTAATTTAAAGCCATTACTCCTTGCCCTGTCACTGCACTCCCTGATAAAGAGTCCCTCCCTAGCTTTCCTGTAGGCCCAGAGTTGAACACAGTATTCCGGGTAAATTATGTAGCTGTATTACCTGTATTAAACATACAAGGGGGCATAAGTGCTTTTGAACTATGATTACATAAAATATGTCCCACTTGACAGCAAGACAATACTAGCAGATTTTCCAATTCTACAAACTTAGTACTGAAGTTTTTTTCTTGTTTATATTTTGCTGGTAGATTTAATTGCACGTGAATTATTTTCCTTAACAAAACCTTACAGCTTCGCTGAGAGTGCACGAGAACAGTATGAAAAACTATCCAACATGCACAACAACATGACTAAATTGTATGAAAATTTGGGAGAGTACTTTAGCTTTGATCCCAAAGCAGTAAGCATAGAAGAATTCTTTGGCGATCTGAGCAACTTCAGAACTCTATTTTTGGTAAGTAATGTCTGCAAAACATCATATGTTCTTACTTTTCCTGTGGGTTCTCTCAAGTTTAATTTCTTCCTCTTCTTTCTTCCTTGAGTTTTAGTTAACTTTTTCTTTTATGCTGTGGCAGGGAATCAGTTGCACGTGTCCAGAATTAATTTGATTTTGGTCACTGATAATTATAATTCTTTAACTTGCAAATCCAACTCTCAATGTGACCAAGAAATGGATAATTAGAAAAAGTGTAAAAAAAACACCCTACCACCCCACCTCACACACAAAGCCTCAAACAACAAAAACAGAAACCACACATACAAACAAACAAACAAAAAAAAACCAACAACCTTAGTGAATAATGGAACAAAAACCAGAATGGATGTACCTATATTCACATTGTGTGGGAATCTGACTGATGTCTTAATGATGCTGTGATGCTAAAGCTTACACTTCCATAATAAGCCCTCCATTTCTGACAGAATTCCTGATACTCACTTAAATGTTCATATTACTATTTCTAGTCAGCTGGTACGGTTGCTGTCAGCGTTTGGCTTCTTTATGCTGGAATTTAAGAATTTTATTCAACACCTAAGTTATTTAAACGGCTTTAATGTCATCTTTCCTAGTGGCTGTCTGGAAGCCATAATCAGCAGCACCATAGGAAGTGCACAAGGAAAACAGATGCCTGCAGTGTCACATTATGTCTCTAGAGTATATTAACATCGCTTGGAAATACCACTGTTTACCATGCAGCTGTAGCTCTGAGATCTCTCTATTGCCAGTATCTGCCTTAATTCATCACATAATCATAGGAATTTTGGTTTCGGTGTAATGGATGAATAACCACTTCAAAACGTAATTTTAGTGCTAAGTTTACTGTATTAGTAAACTTTTATTACAATATATCTAACTGTTCATTTTAATTTGGCAGTAATTATTCTTTTTTTTACTGTAAGCAAATTGCGATTTTTTTTTTATAATTAGTAAGTATGCCAATGAATAACCACTTCAAAACGTAATTTTAGTGCTAAGTTTACTGTATTAGTAAACTTTTATTACAATATATCTAACTGTTCATTTTAATTTGGCAGTAATTATTCTTTTTTTTACTGTAAGCAAATTGCGATTTTTTTTTTATAATTAGTAAGTATGCCAACACATCTGCACGAAGATGTGTCAAAAACAGGAATAGTTGTCATAAACTATTTCAATGCATTTAATTTTTCATAAATCCAAAGCTCACATTTTCAAACATGGATATCTAATTTTGGAAGTCTACTTCATTGTAACTACTTGAAACAGACTTCAAACTAGCAATATCCAAATACTGTGGTGAAAAATCTGTCCTCAAGTATGTATTTAAACAGCTATGAAGGTGACAGGAGCCAGAGAACAAATATCCAGGTTTTCTAGAAAGCATATTAGAATGAAAATACTTCCAATTGCTTAAATATGTCTATTTTATTTCTTTGTTGACTATCTCAAGATCTGGCTAATAGCCTGTTGCTCTTTGCTGGTTATAATTGTATTTGAAATGACTGAATAATAATGGCGGAGAGGGTGGGATCGGCTTTAATTCATTGCTACTTATTTAAGGAGAAAATTCTGAGATTTATCTGTATGCTTGTCCAGGAGGCAAATCTCTTTTCATGACAAGGTATAATAGTTATATATTTTCTATATAAAATGTCATATTTTATAAAATAGAGTGGTTATTCTGTCCTTTAATATGATGGCTACAATATATATTATAATAATAGTTAAGACTTTATATATGTCTAATATTTTGGTAATTTGACAAAGAGAAAACACAATAAAAATCTAGGATTAATCCCAGTGGCAGGAATTACTACAAGGCTTGGGGTGCCAAAATTTCAAATGTATGAATGCATTGAATCTTCTGCTGATATAAGTTCCAGAGTTTGCAAAGACACAAATCAGGTTATTTTATGAGTGTTTAATTTTTATGTCATATTTACAATATCAACACTATGTTGTTGGCTGTGTTATGTCTAAATTCATGTGGCTATGTTGATTGGACTTTCAGAGATTATTTAGTCCGCCTATATAATCCAAAGTAAGGTCAAGTTCCAGCAGGTATCATGGGGCCTTGTTCAGTTACATTTTTATTCAGGAATGGAGATTTCACGACCTCTCTGTTTTCCACAGTAATCACACCTGTGGTGGCAGAATAGGAAAAAAGTTATAACATGAGCGACTGTATTTATTGTCTCTTGTTCAATTGCTTTGCACCTCTGAGAAGAATCTAGATCCGTCTTCTGTATACCATCCCATTATGTTGTGTAGATAGCAATTAGGTCGCCTGAGAGCCTTCTCTTCTTACAGCTGAACAAACTCAGTTCTCAGCTTCTGCTTGTCATATGCTCCAACCTCATGACCGTCTTGATATCAACTACTGGACATGCTCCAATATTCATTGGAACTCATTCTGGGCACAGAACTCCTCCAGATGTGTTTTTTCAAGGAGTGGTAAAGTGGAAGAATTGCCTCCTTCAACCTGTTACTGTACTATTTAAAAAGTTGACTGTGCATTCAAACTTCTTTGCTCCAAAGGCATACTGCTGCCTCTCATCCAACCAGTTGTCCACCAGTAACTTTGTTTTTCTTCAAAGCAGCTTTCTAGGATTGCTTTTGCATTTTACATCAGTTGTGTTTAGGGTTAAGTAATGTAGTGTAAGTCTATACTATAGAAAACTGTATATTTGTGAATTTTTTGGTGGTCCAGTTTTTAAGTTTCACTGACTTTCCTAAATATTATTTGTGAGAATACTGTCTGGAACGGATTTCACTGCATCTCTAATACCTGTACTTCAGTGATGACTGTTAATGTGGACTTGAAGTATGTATGCTTTTTTATTTGTTTTTCAAATATTTGCTAATTTACCTCAATTAAATGAGGTCCTGTTTCAGAAACATTTAGTGAAATACTTCAATCACATGCTTCTAAATCTGGAATGTTCAGGTGACTTTGAACATTTGCACATTAAATACAGAATGCAGATAAATGCAGTATGACTTGGGAGGAAGGAAGTGTATTATGTCACTGAATAATTTAAATGTGCATTGAGAATAAATTTCTCTTCTGTATGCATTTTGTACACTTGTACTTACAGCAAGGCTCCAGATAGCCAATTCTCACTGTTTTAGAAAACTGTTAAAAATTAGGACATTTCAAACATTATTTTTAATCACTGAAATAACTGTAGCAATCAGAGTAATGAAGGTGTTGAAAACTACCAGCAAACTACTGTTAATTATTATTCCCAACATGCACATAATCGTCTTGTTAATGCTGTATACATGTCTTCTGCAAATACTCCTCTGTGGATGTGGAAAAGAGGTGTAAATTCTATAAACTACCCAGATAATTTTTACCATGAGATATTATCTGGGTTTTATTTGCCAGAATATGCTTTACTTTCTTTATGTATGAGTGCAGGAATACCTGTGTTCTGATTACTAGACAGTACTGAAAGCAGACAGCAAAGTTGTCTTGACATTTTTTTGTTTGTTTGTTTTTTCTTTTTCCTTTTTTTTATTTTATTGGAGGGGAAGAGGATATTATCAGAGTGTTTGGTACAGATAAAATACTCCTTAAACATCAAATCTAGCAGAAAAAGGATTTACTTTGAGCAAGTAGTTGCGTATTTTCAGTAGACTGCAACTACTCTTCATTTTTTCCACTGTAATCTGCCTTTAGTATTTCACTTATGTACTAAATTACTTTTAATGGACTTTTCCTTCTTAAAATTCAGACACAACTATTAGCTATTCACAAAGCAAGAAAACAGCATCTTTCTGGTAGGCACTACATAGTCATGTACTTCCTTGTCAATGAGGATCTCGATAACCTCACATGTACATTTTCACAATCCTTGTTACAAGGTTATTATGTTTGAATATCTCCACAACACCTTCATCTTGTGCTGTAAATACAGTCATTGCAAAGCATAATTGTCTTATTACCTAATTGATGTAAAGTGCCTTCTGTCTTAAGGGAAAGTAATTACAGAGGGAAACTTCAGTTATACATGTACATGCTTGCAGAGATCAGAATCCACTAGCTATTCTGCTTTTTCTAAACACCTATGTATGGTCGCCTCTTCTTAGGATATTTGTTTGATGTTTGTTTTACTTAATACTAAAAAACTGCAATAATTTTTTTTTTTTATTTTTTTTTTAAGGGTGGGAGATTATCCTAAAGACTAAATCTCTGTGAATAGATTCAGTTTACTAAGACAGACCTATCAAGTTTTGTATTCTGGTTTGGAATATTAGACTTGAATTCCAAACAGAAAAGACAGACAACAAATAATCTTTCCAAGTTTCTAGAGAAGTGGAGCTAATTTCTTGTGTCACTTTATAATTTTAGGAAGCAGGGAGTAGTCTACTAAGATACTGTTTTAATGCTGCATATGTTGGTCTGAATAGTTAATTATCTGTGTGGTGCTAGGGTTTAAAAAAGTTTTTATCTGTATTATCTACTAAGCCTCTTTAAATATTAATATTAAAGTCTTCAGTATAAAAAAGTGAGATCTGAGACGTGTATAGCTTAAGGAAAAGCTTTCTTTCCTTAGTATAATTTGTGCTTTAGTCAAATTGACTTGTTCAGATATATACACTAGTTGTAGTAATTGTAATTAGGTCTTTTGAGAATTTCTGGACTTATTTTATCCAGAGCAGAACCTTGTAGACTTCAGTGGCATAAAGATTCTTGTTTAAGGATTTAATTTTTCCATATGCATGAAGAAGGCCTAGAGCAAGCATTAGAAGTTTGCAGTACAATGATTTTATTTTCTGTAAGGAAAATTATTTTAAAGAATTAAGTTTTTCTGCAACATTTTGATGGCTATGAAAAGTTTTTCAAAAAGATAAAAAAGCAATCAATTTTCAAGTTTAAGGAAAAATCAAGAAAAAGCAATAAATCACTGGAACTCATTTAATCTGTGGAATTTACTGTAAAAATTCATAACTACTGATAAGAATTCAGG